CGCTCTTCCTCCGCGACTTTCCCCCGGAGCTTCATTGTTCGGCGTGGGTGGCTCCCTCGGTGGCTGAAACTGAACTTTTCCCTGCCTGAAAGGGGGCCGGTGGGGAGCCTCCCTCTGCTGCCTTTCTGCCTGGGGGGGGAGGGGGCGAGGCCCTGCTGAAAAAGACCAGCCCGCCTTTTGAGCCCTTGCCGTCTCTGCCTCCCGCTCTTTTCGGATGGTGCCCACGAGGGCCGCGGGATGCTTTGGATGCGATGACAAAGTGGGGCTTCGGAGACGTGGAGGCAGACGCGGAGCCCTGCTTGCTTCCCTTGAAACCAGCCGGGTCTTTTCCAGCAGGAAAAGAGGTCGCTGCCTTCAACAGCTGCAGAGGTCCGAGCCCCTTTTCTGGATTATTTCCCGCAGCCTTGGTGCCTCTCTGGTTTTCCCCATTCCTGCAGCAGCCTCGGGTGGGGCACTAGTCGCGTCGACCAGCGCGGTCGCTTGCAGGCTGGAGGAAGGTGTGCGAGCCGGAAGAGATGCTTGCCAGGGATTGGTGAGATGAGCTGGGAGGCAGCTTTTTAAAACCTGCATTTAATATGTACCTGTAATTCTTCCTTTCCTTCCAAGGATTTAAGGATAGCTCACGGAGATGTTTTGTTTCTCCTCTTGAGTTTATGGTGACCAGAGTCCTGCAAAGGAGACTAAGATGACATGCACCCTATAGATTATGCTGTCCTATAGAGCAGGGTCCCTCAACCTTGGCGACTTTAAGACGGGTGGACTTCAACTCCCAGAATTCCCCAGCCAGCCTTGCTGTGGTGGGGGGGTGGGCTTGCCTATCATTTCCTGGAAGAAAAATGGGGTAGAAATAAAATCATACACAAGACCCAAGGCTTCTGGTGACCTGGTGGCAGAGTGGAGGCTTTTGGATAGCCTTCAAGGAGAACCCCGGGTGGAGTCGGCTGCAGTAATAAGTCCTGGAAATTGTTCTGCTTTCTCCCCCACTCCCCTTCTTCTTTTCTTTTGCTGATCTGTTTTCTTTTCTTTTTTTCTCCCTCTCTCTCTGCCTTTCTTTCCTAGTTATTAACTGCAGGCCCAAACCAGCGATTAGATGCGATCTTTGTGATCAGGTTGGCTTCCTAAAACAAGAGTAAGTTAGCATATGGCTACCAGCGTGAAGTCAAAGGCTGGATAAATGAGTGGTGCGTCCGTGTGGAATTGTCGAACGTTGTTTTTAGCGAGAGGATCAAGATGTATTTGACATGAGCTGCGGTATAATTAAATATGTCTTAATTGTCAGGGGGAAAATCCCACGATAGCTCCTTTGATTCATTGCTGATGAATCATTGATAGCATCTTCCTCTTGGAAGACAGGGAGCAACGCCAGGCTTATTCGAAGGAGGGAGGACCAGAACTAGAGATTAGGGTTGTGGGTTCAGCCCTGCACGTTCCTTGCCAAACAAGCAGCAGAGGTGGGAATTGCCTCTCCTTGCAGGTAGACAGCAAGCCTCTCAGGGCGGCTCTGCCATTCCGGGCAGGGATGCAGAAAACTACGAATGGGAACCGACAGAATCTGAGCTGTCTTCTCTCACTTTTCTCTCTCTGGAGATCTGGAGTTGTCTGGTCTTGCCTGAGATCAGATTGCCCAGCCCTGGCCTGGGGGAAGCAGAGACAGTTGGGAAACCATTGGGAAATCGAAAAGTGGGCTTGTAGGATTAAAAACCCCAAATCTGGAACCTTGACACGCCCTGGGTTTCGTTGTGCGACCTGCACGGTGACATTTTTTCCCCCCTTCTTCCCTTGAACAGCCAAAAAAAAATGGAAATGGAAGGGTGGAGCTGGGAGATGAGAAGATTGGAGTATTAAATCAGGACCAGAGAGATCCTCATAACAACCCTGTAAGGCAGACCAGGCCAAGGGGGAATGGCCTTTGTGTCAGCCCAGCCTTAAGGGGGGATCTGAGCATCCTCAGGGAAGGAGGACAGAGATGCAGCTCTCTGCTTCGGTTCTCCTCTCTCCTGCAGGAGGAAGGCTGGCTTAGCCCGGGTCAGGGTGCCCTGTGGTTCCCGTTGGCATTCAGCGATGCCAAGAACATGGTGATCTCAGCACAGCATAGAGGGGGGACCTGGGCTTGTTAATTAGGGTTATATCCCATTTTTCCTCCAGAAAGTTTGAGGCAACTTACAGAGCTCTCCCTCTGCGTTTAATTCTCACAACAACCCTGCAAAGTAGGCTAGCTCGAGAATTAATCGCCTGGCGAACTTCACAGTTGAGTGGGAATACGAACTGGGCCACGGCGTTTCTAATCCGGTGCTTCAACTACTCCGTATGTCTGTATCTGTCTAATCTATATCTATCTTCTATATCTATCATCTGCATGTCTGTATCTATATAAATTATATCTGATCTGTATCACTTGTATCTGTATATTTAAATTATCATCTGTATCATCTGTATATCTATAACTAATCTATATCATCTGTACCTATATGTAATGTATAGCTATCATCTGTATATCTATATTTATATAATCTATATCATCTGTATCTATAGCTATAGCTAATCTTTATCTGTGTCCCTCACACACACTACTTTTCTGCGCATTATAGGTGTTAAAGCGCTGGGCTTGAGCAAAAGGCAAAATCCTGGTTTGTTGAGCAAGCTGTTGTTTGCACATCACACTGAGCCATAAACCAGGCTTTATAAGCCATGCATCACCCTTCACCCCAGACACTGTGCACTAGTATAAAGTGTGAACTTTGCAGTTCAGTTCTTGCTCCAATGTGCTGGTGTTTTGCTCCTGAAAAGGAGAGGAAAAAAACTGGGAAGCGAGCAAACGGTGTGTGTGTTAAGATAGCTCATTGAGACCGTGGTTTAATAAGCCACGATTCCTGGCTTAAATGGATGGGTGAAGCAGTTGTAACTGGTAGGCAGACAAGACAGCCGTGTTTTCGCCTCTCTTCGGGAGGTGGATTGATCCAGGCTGTTCTTTCAGTTCATCAGATAAATAAACTTGACGGTGGAATCATTTAACAACGGAATTGTATCCCTTCCATGTAATGGATCCCTGCTGTTGCTGCTGCGAGATTTTTATTTATTTAAACAAAACTCTTGAACTTCCATGGAAAGATCAACATTTTTGTTCAGATGTGGCCATGTTTGTCCTTAACCTAATCTCTGGATTTTTTGCTTTTAAGAGAGACCACGGGCACCGTCAGCAAGCAGAATAATTGGCTCGTAATTATCTTATGGTTATCTTTAGTTGGTTGTAATTATTTTTCAAAGTGCAACTAAAACAGGGGTGATGCCCAATTTGATTAAACAAGTTAAGACCAATTGTTTTTCTTTCCGGCCTTTTCCAACGATTATAAACCTGCGCCGTGAGGGAGGCAGCATCAAATACCTCTGCTTTTATCTTTTAAACGTGCAGTCAAGCTTCTAGCTCTTATGGTTAGGCAATAGGCTGGAAGATTTCTGGGAAACACGAGAGATTGGGTGAGAATTCTTGAAGTTAGGGAAAAAACGATCTACTTCTTTAATGCATGTCTCTGTGCTCGTTTGCATTAGAAAAATCCCTCATCTGCCCTCCCTGGACTTCATCCGGGGTGAAATCTGGAGTTTCTTGCTGCTCTGAGACTCCTCCCCGCCCTGCCCGTTTTCTGGGGGGTTTCAACAAACTGGGTTCCGGTGCCACTTCCCCGCAATTTCCTTTGCCAGGGCTCGGGGTGAGATTGCAACATAAATTTGAGCCTGGAAGGAGAGGAAGCCTCTGTCAATATTTCGCGACAGCGTTCTGCTCTCGGTTGCGCAGAGACCATTGGCTTGCCGGAAACCCCCAGGGTGGGGGGTTTACAGTGACACACCTGGCCTTTGCCAGCCCCGGGGTTGGGTCTCCCTGCAGATGGAGGCCTTGGGCCCGTGGAAGGGGCAGGTTCCAGTTCTGCATCCTGGCGTAAAAGATGTCAATGTGATCTAGCATTAGAGGGGAGCTTTCTGCTTAAAATAGGGTGGGTGGAAGCAAGATTTAAGGCCTATGCCCGTCTCTTCTTCTGCTTCTACAAAAGAGCTCTATCCTTTCACTTATTTGGCTTGATTTAAAAAAAAAATGTCAGAAAGGAAAGACCAGGTGCCCTGTTTCAACAGCTGGCTTTTTTTTTCCAGGCACGGCCTCTGCCAGGAACCCAGCACTGTATTTATTTATTTCTGGGCACGCCTCTTCCTCTTATGGTGTAAAATATCAGCCTCCTTTTATTTTATCCTCTCAAGGTTCCTAAAAGCGGTAGATGCAGATTTGCCTACGGGTCAGGTTGCTTCTAAAAGTAGATGACCAGAATCTGATCGGGCTGACTCCACCCTTGAGAGGAGTTCTCTTTACAGGGCTAGGACGAACAGCAGACTGAGGTGGATCTCCCCGCAAGGAGAAAGCTAGCACAGCAAGGAGAAGCAGGAGCTTCCTTTCTGAGAATGCTTTACTTGCAAGAGCTGTGTGTATGGGGAGGGAGGGGGGTATGTGTGTTTTATGCAAACGATAGGAAAGCAGCTTCCACCTGCAATCCGAAATGGTTCTGCCGTTCTGACCGTCCCGTCCCTTCGTTGGGCTGCTTCGAGAGATCTAGCAACTGGAATTTTACTTAAAGGCAATGGGATGGAAGCCTAGCAGACAGTGCAAATGACACCGGAGCGCTTTTTTCTTGCAGGGTGGTGCATTGTAGGGAAAGCAGCCCTTTCGTATTGTACAGGCCACCAACCGCTAGATTTGCAAAGTCAAGAGGCTCCAGAAGGCTGGCGTGCCTCTCCGAAAGACGGCCAAAATTGATAGCAAATCGCAGAGGTGTCTGCGGGCTAGCTGTCAAAAAAGTCAAGATGGCCACCACCTTTTTATTTTTGACATGCGATGTCATTTTGAAGGTCACCAAAGAGGGGTTCTATTCCATATAGGAATTGCCTTCCGTTTTCATGGAATGTAGATGACATTTTATTGAGTTTTGTCCTGCCTATTATTTTGGGCACCCTGCCCAAAAAGGCCAAGCGGGGCTTTGGCTCAGAAAATTTGCCCGGAGCCCAGTGGGTGGCTTTGCCCAGTGCGCTCAGCCAAGTAAAACCAACACTGCCTGCGGGGACCTCGCGTCCAGTCTTGGGTTTGAGGCTCAGCTCTCCGAGCCTTTTAAACAAGGTTGGCTGTGTGTTAGCTACAGCCCCCTCCCCTGCCGGGGGCTTTTGGGTATCTGCCGGAATTCCCAGCCGGCCTCCCACCCACCCGGGGGGCGTCAGGCGGAGAAAGCGGGGCCCAGGTTTGCTTTGCGCGGTTTGCCCAAAACATTGGGTGGGAATGGTGGTTTGTCTCGTGCCGCAGATCAGGGTTCAAAGGAATCCCTGCTTGGCAGAACGTATGGATGCCGTTAATAATCTGCCTTTGAGTCCTCCTTTTTTGCCCTTCTGCCCATAATGGTTGAAAGGATGTGGTTTTCTGCTGCAGAAAAGTCCTATGTATCCCCTAGATGAGTGTTGTCCAAACTTGGCCACTTTAAGATGTGTGGACTTCACTGCCAAAAATGCCCCCGAAGGCCTGGCGGGCTGGGGAATT